ACCTGCTGGGGCTGGTGGACGTGACGCTGGCCATGCTGCCCATGGTGCGGCGCGCGCGGGGCCGCGTCGTCAACGTCTCCAGCGTCATGGGCCGCGTCGCCTTCAACGGCGGCGGCTACTGCCTCTCCAAGTACGGCGTGGAGGCCTTCTCGGACAGCCTGCGGTGCGTCCCACTCGTGGCGCCCAGCCCCAGCACCCCGGTCCCTCCTCGGACCGTGTGCGGTGAGCGCCCGTGCGCGGTTGCGTCGGCGCCGGCGCTGACGGGGCCGCCGTGCAGGCGCGAGCTGCGGCCCTTCGGGGTGCACGTGGCCATCGTGGAGCCCGGCTACTTCCGCACCGGCATGACGGACATCGACTTCAACCTGCGGGCGCTGGAGCGGGCCTGGCAGCAGGCGCCGGCCGGCGTGCGCGAGAGCTACGGGCAGYGCTACTACGAGAGCCGTAAGSGCCGCGCGGYGGGGGGCGGCGGCGCCCGCCTTGCCGCTCACCCTCCTCCTCCTCTTCCTGCGCGCAGTGCACGGGCTCTTCGCGGAGCAGCTGCGGACGCGCTGCAGCAGCGACCTGGCGCTGGTGACGGGCTGCATGGAGCACGCGCTGACGGCGGCGCATCCGCGCAGCCGCTACGCCGCGGGCTGGGACGCCCGGCTGCGCTACATCCCCATCTCCTACCTGCCCACGGCGCTGGCCGACTGGCTGCTGGCGCCGCCGCTGCCCCGGCCGGCCCAGGCGCCCTGAGCCGCGCGGGAGCCTCAATAAACCCGGGAATCGCCGCAAGGCTCCTGTGCGTCCCTGYGGCCACCGCTGTCCCGTCGCTGTGTTTTGCCCCCGGGACTCCTGGAGCGGTCRAGGACGGCCGGTGCGATGGGYGCAGAGCYRYGCGGTGTCCCCGGTCCCCGCCGCGGCCCCGGGCAGGAGCCAGCTCTGCGCTGGGGCCGCAGGACGCGGCTGCGTTGGGGACCCCGGCGGCGCCGGCCAAGGCGGCCGCGCGGGGCCCGGCCGGGCGCGGGGCGCTGCTCTCAGCGATGCCACGAGCGCAGAGCAGCGCRGGGCTGTGCTGGGGCTGCCGGGGCAGCAAACGCCCGTGGGCTTCGYGGCCCTTCCCTGCGGCTCCCGGTGCCCACTATGGRGATATCCGCTGGGGCAGGYTTCCTGCTCCATCCCGGCTCYGCTCCCGYCCTGGGGTCCTGCCGGTGCAACCYGGAGRCTGCGGGCGAGGGGAGCCCGGGCACGGGGAGCCCCGGCTGCCGGCAGCTGCTGCCCACCCTGAGCGCCAATGGAGCCGCGCGGGGCAGGAGTCTGAGGCCGTGGGCGCAGCCGGGGGGCACCGGGGAGGGCACGAGGCCGCAGGGGCAGCAGAGGACGGAACGAGGCACCGCTCGACTCGAGGGGCTGCAGCACAGGGCGCCTTTGGCGGCCACAGGAGCTGTGCGAAGGGGAGCTGCCATGGGAAGCACTTCGGGCACAGGAGCCGGTGCCCACAGCGTGGGCATGAGGCAGCCCAGTCCCTGCGGAATCTCCCAGGGCCACGAGC